TCTTATATAGACAGTCGAACCATAATTGTTACAACTGTCTCTTATACACATCTAGATGTGTATAAGAGACAGCACACACACACACAGAAAAAGAAAAAACGAAAAAAATGACAAAATGAAAACTAAAAGAGCGATTAACACAGGCAGAAGGGGAGGAGTGAGGAAGGCAGACGGTAAAAGAAGAGTCGACAAAGAAGCAGGGGCAGATTGAAGAATGGTAACAGTCTAGGAGGTTCGCTGAGCAAATGAGTACTCTCAGAAAGAAGGGAGCTGCTCGGTCCACATCCTCCTAGTTAAAGATTCAGCACCCTGTCATTCCCTGCTTGCCTCCGACTGCTTAATCCCTGGGAGGACCGCTGCCACCTAAGCCGCCGCATCTCTCTTCCTCTTGTAAACATAGCCCTGCTTGTTCTCCGCTGCAGGAGTCCCTAAAGCCCTTCCTGTCATATGGAGAGAGGAAGAGAAGGAAGCATTGGCATTTCACCCGATTACACCACCGCTAGGCCAGACACAACAGCCAATCCCCCCTAAACTGCAGGCCATTCGCCTCCTCAAAAGGCGGGCAGGCTGTTGTCAGGAAAGCCGAGAAACTCAGTTGCAAAAATATATTTACGCCCTTTGGCAATCAGTGGCCGCGCAGAACACAGTGGCTACGAATTTGCAGCAAAGCCACCAACAGCGAGCCGAAGATGCTGTGCTAAACCCAAGCCGATGCGTCCTAAACGGCAGAGAGCCCGTTTGCGCCCTCAACAGGCAGGAAGGTAGGCAGGAGGCTATCTTCACGAAAGCCGAGTACGCCCTTTGGCAATCAGTGGCCGCGCAGAACACAGTGGCTACGGATTTGCAGCAAAGCCACCAACAGCGAGCCGAAGATGCTGTGTTAATCCCAAGCCGATGTCTCCTAAACCGCAGAGAGCCCGTTTGCCCCCTCAACAGGCAGGAAGGCCGGCAGGAGGCTATCTTCACGAAAGCCAAGAAAGTGAGTTCCAATAAGTTATTTATAGCATTTGAAGTGGCAGCGCATCGTCCCTATGAATTCAATTCTTCTGCAACGAAAGCACCAAACGACAGCAGAAGATGCTGTACTAATCGCCCACCCGTTCGCCGCTTCCTATCGAGTGACACACCCAACACCATAATTCTTGAACTCTTTTCCCCTTCTCATTCCGCGTTCGAAGGCGCCACTGTAGTAAGACCCGAAAACGTCTGGCGATGATCGAAAGGAACAAACCCAGAAATTTCAGTGAAGTTTCCCTCTGATCTCTGTGCCACAGGAACGGATAAGACACAGTTAACGCCTTGTCACAGAGCAGATGACAGCTGTACAATGACTAGCGCATCACGGTAGAGTTTCACACTGCTCATTCACAACCATACTCAGTCTCCCTCCGCAAGATAGAGAAGACACAGGAAAGCCACTCTGCTCATTCTCGACTCTGCTCTCTCCTCACAAAATAGAGAAGACGAAGGAGAGAGCCACAACAGCTGTACAACGTCGACTAAGACATCGCAGTAGAGTTTCACTCTGCTCTGCCTTTACTCTGCTCTGCCTCTACTCTGCTCTGTCTCTACTCTGCTCTGTCTCTACAAGCTACGAAAGACACAGGAAAGCCATTCCTGCCTGCAGAGAATGACGCAAAAGTGCACACGACACAGCTGTCTGTACATGACCCAAGGCAAAGAGGAGGGGAGCCACAACTCGCGGTGACCCAAGGCAAAGAGGAGGGGAGCCACAACTCACTTGCTAGGCTGTTATGGCACCTACCATGTTGACAGTACTTGACTATGATGAATGAACTAAAGGGTACCAGATGCGAATGTATGCAGTGTACAGTGCTTCCACGACCGCGATTTCATCCTGGCCAGACCAAGTCCGAAACAGCAGGAGCTGCTGCTCTGCATTCTCTGCCCAAGCCCTCAGCCCATCATCCATCACTGGACTGTGCACAGCAGATTCACAAAGTTCCATCCGCAGCCCCTATCCCATCTCATATCGTTCGATAAATAAAACATGGCCTCCCCAAAATAGCCACAGTCCGGTGGTGGGGGCCATTATGCACCCCCTCTTTGGCACATCCAACAGTTTGGGAGAGTGAGAGGGTTAGTTAGGATCATGCTGGCTGCATGCCAAGTGAGAACAGCACCTGCAGACTACAAGCGAAGCTTCGCTTGTACTCTCTCTGAGATTCCTTCCTTCCTTCCTCTTTGAAGCCAGTCATCGCTGTAAGCTCTGTGTGAGTGGCAGCTCACACACACACACCTTTCCAAAACAATTGCCCCAATTTTTGTCTCCACGAGAGCCTCTACTTGTACTTGGCGTGCAACGACCCTAGCCTAGCTAGCTGTCTCTCTTCGTCGTCTCTGCAAGCCTTGCATGTCGCCGCGGAACGCCAATTTCACACGAGTTCACCTTCGCCGCAAACCGGAGAGAGCACAGCGACTCTGCCTCTGAGTGTCTGTCGGGCGCGATGTTCACAAACATCAGAGTCTTGGAATCCCCCCCAAGGCATGGCTGCAGCAAATACGTCAGCTTGGAGTTTCTGTAAGGGATATGCGCTTCTTTGTTGGCGATCGCCGAGATGACGTCGCCGAGCGAGCTTAAGCTTTTGTTGATTGCCTGGGTCTCCTTCAATCGCTCTCCGGTCGCTCCACTTCTCGACAGCCGCTCACTTCCCGCAAGGTCAATCAGATTCAGCACTCCGTTGACCTGCTGTTCTGTGCCATCGTTCACCCCCGTGATTCTCAACGTGAAAACGCAGTGGCTTCTGGAAGACCGCTCGTTCATCGCTGTTTTCCCAACCGATCGGTACTGCGCCGCCCGCGCAAGTAACGTTGCAACCTCCCTCCAGCTTGTCACTTCAACTAACGTCAGGTCCGTGACTGTGGTGTTCCCATTCGCATCATGTTTGACTACATGCTGCTTGCTCCCACCGGCAGCAAGGTCCACTAGCCCACAGCTCGCCCTCGCTGTGGCGGCCGACAGAAGATCCCGAATGGTCTCGTTGTGAATCTCCAACATCGAGGCCTGCATGCTGAACCTCCACCCCTGCTGCTCAAGCCCCTTGCTTGTCATGAAGATCTGCTCTAGTGACCGCGGAATCATGCCTCTGTGGCGGTCCGGTTCCGTAGCGCCGAGCATTGTATAGGTCTTCCCTGAGCCCGTCTGGCCATAGGCGAAGATGCAAACCTTATATCCATCAAGAGCGCTCTGAACGAGCTGCGACAGCTCTTCGAATACCACAGACTGCTCTACTTCAGGGCCAAAGACCTTGTCGAACGTGAAGGAGTACTGCTGACCCTTCTCCGCTTGTACCTCGATGCCCCGGCCCATCAGCTCAACGGAGGTCGGGAAGCGGATAGGACCAGGCGAGTCTGATGAGTCTTCCTCTTCGTCCGGGAGCATGGGGCGCACCCTGCAGAACACGCGGATGTTCCCCTTCAGCTCCTGAATGGTGTTATGCAGTTTCCGGCGAAGCTGCTCACCTTCGAGGAACCGCATCTCTGTGTCTGCCAGCTTGGACTCCAGCTCAGCAATTCTTCTGTGCGACTCCACCAGCTCCATTCGTCTTTGCTCGGCTACCCCCTCCGACAACTCCAGCTGTTGCTTCAACACTTCCTGTTGTCGTTTCAGCCCAGCAATGACTTCGTTCTGACTCAAGAAGTTCTGTTTCAGCGCCTGCTCTCTGATGCTGAGCTGCTCCAGCTCTGCCGCAGACTTCCCCGTGCAGTCCTTGTAGCGCGCGTTCTCCAAAGCCAGTGCCTTGTTCTCCTCCGCCTTGCGCTCACGATCTTCCAGCAGCCTCTGGATCTCCAACTGCGTTCGTCGCGTCTCCTCCTGCATCACCTTTTGCTGCCGCGATAGGTCATCCGTTGCCCTCTGCGCCGATTCCAGTCGACTCTGCAAGGCCATGTTCATCCCCTTGAAACTGCCGATTTCGGCCATGACCGCAGCCTTCTCCCTTTGCGAGACGGCCAGGGCCTCCTGCGCCGCCGCGGCATCACCCTGGAGTTTGCTGTTGTATTGCTGCAGACTGGTATTATACTCTTGCAGGCGTCTATTCACATCCTGCAGGTTCTCCACCTGCTTGATCGACGCCACCAACTCTGCTCTCACCCGGCTGCCATCCTCATCCAATCGAAGGTTAAGATCCCTGAGCTTCCTCAGCTCGTGGGCGTCCTGCTCTGTCAGCTGAGTCAGCTCCCTTTTGTCGTTCTCAACAGCGTAGAGGCTCCTCTCCAGAAGCGTAATCTTGTTCTCGTATGCCTCTCGCTCTTTTCCCATCTCATCGAGAGAGCGCTTGAGGTTGGAAAGCGTCTCCTCATGAATGGCCTCCTCACGAGCCATCTGCTTTTCAAGATTCTCCTTCTCCATAATATGCCCCTCCTCCACCTGCTGCATCTCTCGTATACATTGCTTCAGTCGCTTCGTGTAAGCCATATACACCTCACACTTGCCCTTGAAGTCGTACTTGGCTTTCGGTGGGTGTTTCTCGTTCAGCAACTTGTCCGCGTAATCTCTCACCGATGTCAATCCCTCCCAATTGCCGTCGGGGCATTCTGACCCGCGGTCTGACGACACGGAGGGACTTATCTCCCGCCCTCTCAAGCTGCTCACAGCCGACGAAAGCTCTCTCCTGACGGAGGAGGCCGCTAGGGTCTGCCGCTTCACCGTTGTTGTCATGTCTGACGGAATCCCGATTCCCCCACTTCCCGCCTTCCTCTTCTTCGCAGGCGGAATAATCGAGGCGGCTTGATTCTCCTTCTCATTCGTTTCCAGTGTTGAAATCTCCTTCTGATCAGGCGGCGGCGGCTGAGGCAGCAGCGTCGAACAGGTGAGAGGCGTTCTCGACATCATCCCACACTCTCTCACGCGCGCACGCAGGCACGCACGCGTCTATATCTTTCCCACTATACGCCCGTCAGAAAACGTGCTACTTAACGACGACGACGTGATGAATCCGACCGCAATCACGTCTCTATTACTACGCCGCCGTCACTACAGGCCAACCACCGCCTTTCCGTCGTTTATTTGTTCTTTCTTACAGATCAAGCAACGATGATTGAAAGCGCTGGAAACCGGGTCCAGCATCCCTTACATCAGTTACGCAATCAACGCGCACGCTTCTCTCCGTTAAGCACGATAGACACAGAAACAGCGGCATTGATTTCTTCTCCAAAGGAAAGGAAAAGAAACCCAAAAAAAAACAAAAACAACAAAAGAAAGGGAGGAAAAGACAGGATTTCTCATATACAACTGCTACTGAACTCCCGTGGTCTCTGAGCATTATCTTTAACCAGTTTACCCTAGAATCGCATTTCTGAAAGAAAAGCTTTCACACACGAGGGAGGAGTTTTCTTACTAAGCTCTGGACGTGATTTCGGTCACATTCCTCCAGCCTTGGCCGCAATTGCAGTCAGATACATTTAGTTTAGGGGAAAGAGAAAGAGTGTGACTCTGTGTGAGCATGGCCTAAAAAACGTTTTCTTCCTCTCCCTTAGTCCGTACGTACGTACGGGCCTATTTCACACTCTGAGTGGCGTTTGCCCTCAAACAGATCATCGACCAAACCTGGTATGACTCGTCATCACCTTGCACTACATCCAGCCACTCCCTGCTCTTACCTCGCCCCAAAGCTCGTCTTCCAGAATATTCCCTCCGTGACGCTCATTCGCCCAAGGGACCTTCTTCTTCCTGCACGTAACAACTCTCCCTCTCTCTCTCTCTCTCTCTCTCTCTCTCTCTCTCTCTCTCTCTCTCTCTCTCTCTCTCTCTCTCTCCGTGACGCTCATTCGCCCAAGGGACCTTCTTCTTCCTGCACGTAAGAACTCCCCCTCTCTCTAGGACGCTCGCTCGCTCTTTACTTTTCTCTCTCTCTCTCTCTCTCTCTCTCTCTCTCTCTCTCTCTCTCTCTCTCTCTCTCTCTCTCTCCTCCCAACTTCCCTGTGTGGCGTTTCCGCTCAAACCGGTCGTCGACAAAATCTGGTAGGACTCGTCAGATTGCAAACACGCCCAGCCACTCCCTCCTTTTCCCTCGCCTCGAAAGTAGTGTTGCAGAACATTCCCTCCTGAACGCTCATTCGCGCCGCCCTCGTCAATGGAGCTTCCTTCACATATAAGCTCTCCCTCTCTCTGGGGTACTCTCTCTCTCTCTCTCTCTCTCTCTCTCTCTCTCTCTCTCTCTCTCTCTCTCTCTCTCTCTCTCTCTCTCTCTCTCCCCCCAACTTCACTTAGTGGCGTTTCCCCTCAAACTGATCCTCAACAAGGTCTAGTGGGATTCATCAGCTTGCACTGCGCCCAGCATTCCTTCCTTACCTCAATCAAAAACTCGTGTTCCAGAATATTCAACGTTCTTTGGAGCCGCCTTCGTCAATGGAGCTTCGTTCACATACAGACCCGCCCTCTCGCT